AAAAGAGAAGTTATTGATGTTTTTGAATAATTTTACAATTATTAAAGAAATTATAGTAAATGAATGTAATAGAACATTTTTTTGAATATCTAATCATTTTTAGAGTGAGTCAAAATTTTCTTTAGGGTCAGAAAAAAGTCAAAATTTTGTTTGCTTTTGCTAAATTTAAAGTATTTTTTTAAAACTAAGTATTAAAATAGCTTTGCCTTTATAATTCATTTCCTTGACCGTAAAATTCTAATCCATTAGGTTCTTAAATTGAGTCAGAGTACTGTATAAAGTTTTAAGTAAATTTTAGCTTCTTTAACCATAAAATTCATCAGCTTTTACCATAAAAATTTTTAAGTTCAGTACATTAAAATAATGGACTAGAACGTTAAAAATCTGATTAAAAAATCAGTAAAGTCTGCATCTTTAAAATGTTGCTATACCTAAAGTATATCCGTCTTGTCAAGTACATACATTTGTCTTCGTGTAATTTTGTTTTTCGTTAATATTCTATACACAGAAATGAAGAATAAAGTATCTTTTACTATATTTTCACGCAGTAAAATCTGAATTGACAAGAATTTTTGCTTGTTTTTTGACAAATTTTACTATTTCCGGAGAATAAATTTTACAGTTTTTAAATACATAAGTGGGTAAATTTTGGTAAAAATTGTAATTCATAAGTTCTGAACGTCAAAAAATTTAAATCTTTTGTCAATATAAATATTTTCAAAAATTACCGAGTGCAATAAAAAACATAGATGCAAATAAATTTGACTAATTGAATCAGTTAAAAATTTACTGAAACATCAGTTACTTTTAACTGACAATCAGTTAGCAAGTGTGACGATTAAATTCTTTCAAGAAATTACAAATGAATTCTTATGTCTTTTTATTAATATCCAACAATTTTTTATTTTCACTCTTCCGGTTCCTCTCGTGACACTTGCATTGAAAATTGATATTAAATAAAAAATTTGACATTCCGAATGTCGTTGGAATGTTATGGTCGGACAAGAGTGTTCATAAATGTCACTGTAAATAACATCTTGTAAACCGAACAATAAATTTCCTCAGGGTTTACACGTTTTCCGGAATGTGTCGCACAGGTGAAGATACATAAAATGATGAAGAGTATATTTTTTTAAGCAAGTATACCTACGCGGTAAATTTTTCTTTTTAGGCTTTTAGTAATTAATTATTCCCACAAGAGGGAGAGAAACGAGTTTTTAAAATGTACTTTTAATGTGTATATGTCTACTTAATGTCAATCATATTGTTGGAAGTTTTATTTGAATTGGATTTCTAAAAGTATCTTTTTGAAATCAACTTTCAATCACCCGTTATAATCTTGAGTTTCGTACAGAGTCCTTACACGGCTCTCTGGGTCCCGAGAGAAACCTCTCAACGAAGTGGGTGGAATTTCCAGTGTTGCCAGACGAGGTGCAATAGGGTTATATTTGTTATTTCATTAATAGAATTCTCAACTATAAATAAACATAATTTGACTCATCAATGTTTGTTAACATTGTTCAAAAAAGATTTTCATTTATTTCAGATTAAAGGCATTGTTCTTTGGTTTCCTTTCATCTGCTGGGAAATAATACAGAATAGATTCAAACTAATCTTTTAATAATTGGAATAGAGAATAGTTTTCGGTTTTGTTTGATGAGGGATCGTTCTTTGTCATTTCACATGAATGAACCAATTTCGTTTTACAAAAAAAAGAAATCTGTAACAATAAATTAAAAGAGATGAAATAGTTTCTATTTAAAGGGAAATTTTTCAAATTGGAATTTAATTTACAATTGAATGTATAGTTTAGAAGAAGGGGTATGAATAAGTTCTCAATTTATCAGAATTTCGTTGGACACAATTTTCTTTTTGTCTACCTTTCATTTGACACAATTTTTGTTTAATCGAATTTAAATTAACTTTGATTTTTCTTTGACAAAATTTAGAGCAGAGTTTTCAGCAAAGAGAATTTCTATTTAGTTCACTTTTTATTTATAAAATATTTAAATGATTATTTAAAAGAAAAAAATTAAACAAATAAAAAAGAATAAAGATTTAAGGGGAGGATTCACCGATACTTTTAACTATATAGGAAGAAAAAAATTCAAATATTCCATAAAATTGTTTTTATAAGTAGTAATTTTTTGAAAGCAATTCAATGATCATAAAATAAAATCGATCAGAAAATATTTCAACACTTCTTGAATTTTTATTTTTCTTAAAAATTTTCTTAGATTTACTTTCTTATTTTTTTTCAAATTTTCTACAAAAATTGGTCGATTTTGAAATCCATGCGTAATTTTGAAGAAAATGTTTTTGTATCCACATAAATCATTGACGAATGAAAAAATTGATTTTTACAATTTTTGAAGCATTTTCTATTTAGAAAAAAAAACATTGTTTTTAGGCTGAAAATGCTTTAAAATTGTTATTATATTTTTTTAAAAATAATATATTAAAAATATTTGAAAATTCAAAATTTTTTTACTTTTCTTACTAATTTCAGAACATAATTTTTTTTATATAAAAAATAAAAATATAAAAAAATTATGATTTAAAATTAGTTAGAAAAATAAATTAATTAATTTTCAATTGAAAACATTTAGAATTTTCAACCTAAAAACAAAGTTTTTTTGTTTCTGAAAAAGTGTTTCAAAAATAGTAATAATCAATTTTTTTATTCTGCAATTTTTTGTGGATATAAAAAAATATTTTCTATAAAATTATGCATGGATTTCAAAATCTATTAACTTTTAAGAAATATAAAAATTTAAGAAGGTTCAAAATACTTTCTGACATAATAATAATTAAGTAAATAAAAAATAATGTAAATTTAAAATAATTTTAATGAATAAAATAATAAAATAAAATTTGTTGACAGAATTTTTACTTAAATGCGTTTTTATGTAAGTATAGCAGAATTTCTATTTAACTGAGTTTTAAATATCAGAATTTCCATCTTTCTGAATTTTCATTTTCACCAATAAAAAAAAATAATTTATGAAAATACTTTAAATTTTAGGTAAAAATTAGAAGTGAATGAAATATTTTTACACTAATTTGAAAATCTACCAATAACAAATTTTTTTATGATAGTTTCTAATTGTTGTAATAAGTATTTTAAGAATGTAAGCTTTTTAAGAACTTTGCACTGGAAAAAATGTTATCAAATTTTGTAAAAGTATTTAAAAATGTAGGAACAATGTGATGGAAGTGAGGTTTTACTATATAATTATTAATATAATTAATATTATTAATATATAATTATTTTAAATTTTATATGAAACTGACCATAAGTTTCTTTCAAAGATATTTTGAATAATTTATTAGCATTTAAAGTATATTTTTTCAATTTTAATAAAATGTTACTTAATCACATAAGTTTTGTTTTAAATTAGAATTTTTTTTCGGTTAATAAATTTATTTTTAACACATTGTTTCTAAATTGAAAACTATTTTTATAAAATTTCATAACTAGTTTCTTTCAATCTACAATTTTTTATTAAACTTTATATGAAACTGAACACAAGCTTCAATGATGTTTCGAATAATATATGAATAGATTTTGAATAAAATTTTGATAGAAATTCAATGTTAATTTTTTTGACCACTTTTCTCTTTAAATATTTAATAAATTGAAATAAAGCTGAAATTTTGTACAAAAGTCTAAAACACAATAAAGAAGGGCAGTGATGTACAAAAGTTTTTATATTTTTAAAATTAATTACTACAAATTACTTTAAAATTATTATCAATAATTGTCACGGTCACTTCTAATAAAAAATTTCAGCTCAATTTATTAAATATTTAAAGGGAAATGTGGTCGAAAATATTAACATTAAATTTCTAACAGTCACATGCTGTTAAATACTATTCGATTTTTTTACAAATTATTATAGAATTTCTTAAATTAAAAATTCAATTTTTAGAAAATTAAATTATAACAGTTGTAATAATTAAATTTATACATCGTAAATTAAATTAAAATGCATTAAGTTATTGCATTAAATAAGAATTCTGTTGAATAAAATTCATTTATGTGTAAGAATTATTTTAAATAAAAAGTGGTTGTAATGGAAATTTTCTCAATTGAAAATTTTCAGTCACATAAAAATTTGAATAAAAGAAAGTTTCAACAAATTACTTTTGCGGTTTATTCAAATGCTTACTGCAAAAAATTATGTAACAATTTATTACCGAATTTGGCTATTAAATCGTCATTTATTTCTATTTTAATAAAAAAAATTAGTTTTAATTTAACATTTTCTTTTCACAATGCTAGAAGTATTTGTAATGAAAACATAAAATTTCAAATTCAAAAGATTTTGTTGCATGACCGAAAAATTAGGTGCGAAGTAACGGATTAAAAAAAAGCTTCTTTCCTCGTCTCTTGAGAACTAGTTTTGATGAAAAAAGAAAAAATCCTGGAGGATCTAAATTAGTCTCATAGGAATATTTAAAATTAATGCGAAAGGATTTATTCGAGAAAAAAGGGAGCCGACGTGTGAATGAAATCATTCTTCCTGGCAGAGAGATATACCTGAAACTGCTTTCCTGACCGTCAAGAGAAGACCACCGGGTGCCTCTCAATTTATATTTCAGTAGGATACACACAGCATCCAATGGCATTCTCCATTCAACCTGTTCACTTGAAATGGTCTTCTTCCTATTCCTTGGGACAATTTCTAAAAGTTTTAAAAGGCAAAAGATCTCTTTTCAAATTGAATTCGCCAATATTCTTAATCCCTCACAGGATACTTTTGACACGTACCAAAGTTTATATTTACAGGTGTATTATCCGGTTGTATTAATACCTAACTATATTATCGCGACTAAATTATTTCACAGAAAATATTTCCTCTATTTTTTCCAACATGTAGTTTAGATTCTGTTTTTGATTAAAATATCAGTTTGGAGAATGTAATTTTTGTTTTATGATTTAGTATCCGCATTAATTTGGGATTTGCCTTTTCTTCTGGCATAAGGTCAATACTTACGACTCTTGACTCAATATCGAGACTGCGATCTCGCCTTCTTTTGCCAAGGACAGGGGTGCAGAGGAACATGTCCATAGAACTGCCATCTTGATCTCTTCTTAAAGAATCCAAACTTCGAACAGCAACAACCGCGGCGGCTTCGTATAATTCTTTCAAGGCTTTTGGCCTCGTGTCCGCTGTAAACAACGAGGTCACGGGTTTGTTCGTCGATTGAAAATGATCTGTCTTCAGCGCAAATGAACTGATGTCAGATTCCGCTGTAACAAAAATAAAAAATATTATTTTTTTACTCAACCAAAAATAATCAGTTGGGATTTAATTCACATTTTTTGATTGACTTTCCAAAACAACCAGCACTTCAGAATTGAAAATATTTCAATATAAAAACATTTCCCCTTGTCGAATTTAAAGTGTCGGATCCTTAATTGCAGAATTAATATTCTACCGATTTTTTATTTATTTTTTATAGGTAGAGTAGAACGGGAGTACAACTGGTTCAAATAAAAATTGTCTCTGCTATCAAAAATCTGCTTTCTAAATTCAAAATAGTGAAAATGTAGCCACTAATTCATATTAGATAGAATATTCACTTATTTATTTTTAGTAAACTCATTTTAGTAAAATATTAAGTGAAATATTTTTTAAGAAATTTTTAGAGAAAAATGTCAAAAAATTAGTAAAAATTCTTACTATTGTGAATTAGTGGCGCAATTTTCATGAATTCAAATTTATAGTGCAATAAAGCAAAATTTTTTTTATAAAAACATTGATAATAAACATTGAAACATTGATAAAATAAAAATTGTATATTTCAGAATTGTCACAGGTCAGGGAAGTCAGGGAAAATGAAATTGGTTAGGCAATTTTATTAAACTGGGAAAATATCAAATTCCTAGAATTTTGCTACAGAAATTCTAGATTTTGTTGTCGAAAAACATTTTCGAAAATTTTAGAATCCTAGAAATTTAAGTTGCTGTGAAGTAATAAATAATACCTAATTAAATACTAAAAAAATTTTGTTTCTGAGAAATCTTAATTTAATTTTTTTTAAATTACTTGAATTTTTAAATTAAAAACATTTTATTACAAACTTATTTAACTAATTAGATTTTATGAAATTTAATTAAAAGTAATTAAATCTGTTAAAGAAGTACATTAGAATTAAAAAAAAAATCGGTTTTTCAATGAATTTCACTTTATGTAATTAATTCTAAAGAAAATTCAAGGATTGTTTGACATATTCATTTTTTAAAGTATTTTAGTTTAATTTTATAATATGATAATTAAACATTTTAAAAACCGACAATTTCTAAAATTCTATTAAAATAATTGAATTTTTAAAAAAATTTTATTGATATTCTTGAAAATAATCTATAAAAGTACGACATATTAATTTTTAAAAATATTAAAGTTCTAATTTTTTTAAATATAATTGAATATTTTTAAAATAATTGAAATTTCCTAAATTCTATAAAAAATAATTAAATTATTTATAGAATTTTAATTTAATTTTTGAAGATAATCGAGAGAAGTTAGACACATTAATTTTTAAAAATATTTCGCAGTTCTATATTTTTAAAGATAATTGAAAATTTTCCAAATAATTTCCTAAAGTTCCTAAAATTCTATAAAAATAATTTAATTTTATGAAAATTTAAATTATTATTTAAAATAATAATTAAAAATTAATTTAAAAAGTTATTTAAGTATTAAATAATTTATTTTAATTTAATTTTATATCATTTAAGTTTTAAATTATTTAAAATTCTGAAGAAATTAGATTTCTGAGAAATTTCAGTTCAATTTTTTAAAGATACTTAAATTTAAAAAAAAATGTTACTAAACAATTTTTAAACTAATTGAAATTTTGTTAAATTGAATTGAAAATAATTAGATTAGCAATTATTAATTTGTTAAAGAATTTCTGAAAATTAGGGAAAAGTCAGAAAAAAACAAAATTAAAGTTTTTTTTAGCAATCATGATTGTCAAATTTTTATAAATTATAAAATAGTAATAATTTTTTATAAATTATTAATTCTTCTTTATAAAAATTGGCTGAATAGAAATTTTATAATTTGGGGTTTAAATTTCAAAAATTCTGTTAAGTCCAGTGTGAAGTGTTTTCATGCGTCCAAAAATTTCAATTTCGAAGCAAAGAATTGGGAATTAAAACAATTAAAGTAATTAAAGATTATGGTACTTTTTTTAAACCATTCTTATTAAGAAATTATTGTAATTATGCCGCACTAACGTCTTTTTTTCGACCGTTTCGTCTGCTTAGAGTGCATACGAGAATTATACAATAGTGTGAATGAGTGTTTTTATATACACAAACCCCATACGTTGATCCATTATCGCGTGAATTCAGTGTGTTTTAGTCTTCTCTCTACTTCATTGTTTCTCTTAGCACAATACCGATCTCTTAATCTCCATTGTTTTGAATTCACTAAAGGGGTTGTGTGATCCAGCTAGAGGTGAGCTTTGACGTGATTTTGGTATAATCCCTTCGGATGAAACTCTGCGTGCACTAAAGCGAAAGGTGATTTCCCCGAGAATTTCCTAATAAAACCGCAAAATTTGCACCTCTGGATATATTGTACATGTAATTATGATCCTTACGCCAAGAATTTATCTACAAGGTGCAGACAAAATTTTTTTGCTTTTGAATATTTAATAACCAACACGTGTGAAAATTTATCATGACGTACACGCTGTAATCTCAGTCTAGATTATCTATTTACATACTATATATTATATTCATTTCTGACTAGTTTTTTAAAGGTAATTTTACCAAAAATATTTTAAAATTATCAAAAGTTTTGTAGATAAAACTGCACAAGATTTTTTTCGTACCTAAAGTTTTCGAAGAAAATATCCAACAACCAAAGTTTTGATTACAATTTTTTTTGTTTTCTATCAATCCATCAATTTACGATGTTAAAAAAAATGTTCTTCTTTTGTAGATCTTTCCAACAATATTATTCAATTGATAAAATTTAGTTTTTAAGAAAATTTATAAACAAAGTTCAATAAGGTGGTTCAACCCTGACTATGTTCTCCTATTAATACAATATTTTACTAAAATTTACTTTCGGAAAAAGTAAAAATTATTTTAGAAACAGTAAATTTGCTTTTCCAGAAATGCGTAAGAAATGCTAATAGGAACTAATTTTTACTAAAATTTAGGTACTTTAGGAAACAATAAAATTCTCTTCGAAAATAGTAAAAATTGCCATTCGAGTAAGGCTTAAAAACTACTGATACTAATTTTTAATTTTTTACTGAAATTTACTTTCGCAAATCACTGTAAAAAGAAAGGTATACTAATTTAGTACCAATTTTGAGTACTAAATCGTCACTTGGTTCTATTTTAATACCAAAAATCAGCTCTAATTTAGAACTTTATATTTACAGTGATCCTAAAATTTACTATGGAAATAGTAAAATAAAAATAATCAAATCAGAAATGCGTAAAAACAGGGTTGCCACAGGTCAGGGATGTCAGGGAATTCAGGGAAAAGTCAGGGATTTTTATTAAAAGTACTGGAAAAAATTAAATTTTTAGAATTTATAGGAAAAATTCTGAATTAAAGAGTCTTTTTTGTTTGCCTCATAAACTATGAAATTGACAATAATTCTAATACAAAATCTTCAATTTTTTATATGTAGGGGAGACTGGGGCGAAAAGTTAAATTGTGAAAACAGTTAAAATTCATTATCTTTCGAACGGAAATAGTTAGAGCATTGCAATTTTAACTATAGAAGGGTGTTATCACCCTAAATAAATGTCCGGAGTTATGTGGCATTCTGCTAATTTTTGTGGTGTCCATATTTAAATTTTTTTTTCACCCTACTTTTGAAAATTTTTTCGTAAAAGAAAATATCAACTTTTAAGTATATTTTTTGCATTTATTCTCACCGCGATTTTTTTACTTCATTATTTGGGTCCCCTGAAGAGATACCTAAAGGTATTTGCTAAATATCTTTAGTCAGATTTTTTATATTTGTTGTTAAAGCCAAAAACGCACCCTGGGGCGAAAAGTTAAATGTATTTTTACATGTTATTAAAAAATTTTTTTTTATTTTTCGTTTTTTTGGGTTTATTTGTTTAAAAATGATTTATTTGACATTAGGCAAGTAGGGGAGAGTGGGGCAAAGGTGCTAGGGTTACATTATCGATGTATATTTTTTAAATTAAGCATTTAATTTATGCGGTCTTTGTTTTTCATTATTCTAAAACTAATCAACAAGAAATTTTAATAGTTGTTATTTAGTATAATATAATTATAAATACATTATTTAATGAAATTTAAAAACAATGAAAAAAATGTCTTTGCCCCACACGCTGGGGCAGCGACGTTTTCGCTTATATTTCTAAAAGAAAGCATTTATAAGCCTTAAAAAAATTAACAAGTGATATTTATTAGTATAATATTTACGAAACATAAGGTTAACAACATATTATTAAAATAATTAAACTATTTAAATAGAAAATAAAAACTTTTAGTTATTTTAACCTTATATTGTGAATTAATACATAGAAAATTCGAATATTCAATTGTTTTTAACCAAATTATGTTCAATATTGCCTTTGCCCCACATAACAAACTTTTTTTTTACTTTAAATTTAAAATATTTAGATTCAAAATTAAACTAAAACACCACGCCAGTTGTGTAGAGAAATATTTAATTTATTTACATGTTACGTTTTTAAAAATTAAATACTTAAACTTATGTTTTAAAAAACAAAAGTTTGTTCAGTAAAATTATCATTTTATTTTTGCAAAACAATTTTTTTGTTATATTTCTTAAAATATTTGATATTTTTAGGTTTTTTTTTAAAATCAATTGGTCTGATTGCATTGCAACTTAATTTTTAATACCAATTAGAATAGACAGAAAATAAAGGAGATATGTTAAAAAACGTCTTTGTCCCGCATAGCGCCTTTGCCCCACTCTCTCCTACTCTATCAAAAAACAAGACCGTTCACGTGAAATAAACCAAAAATTTTTTTTTTTTCTTGAAATTTTATTTTTTTAACTTTATAACTGTTCTAAAGCTTTTGTTAAATAAACACAGATCTTTTATTAACTAAATTACTTGTTTACGTATACTTTAACTTATCTACCACTTAACACCTATCAGAAAATAGTTTTAGTAGGCCAAAAATAGAATTTAACATTTTGCCCCAGCCATTTAACTTTTCGCCCCAGCATGGGGCGAAAAGTTAAAAAAAAACAAAATTTTCAAAAAAG